CATGTATGCAGTGCGTGGTCACCATCATACATGTATGCAGTGCGTGGCCATCATCATATCCGCCCCTTACTTCCTTGTTCCTTCCAGCTTCTCCCAGGACTCCCCATCACATATCCCTTCCAACTTGATGTCTTGTCTTCCTCCTATGAACACAGGCCTTCCCAACTTCAAAAAGCTTAGAACTGCATTTCCCTGGGCCCAGTGTCTGCTAAAACTACAAGTTGTGAATGGCCAAACCTAGTCTCATAGACTTAATGTGGTGGTCTTTGAATTAGCAACAGTTTTTAAGGTGAAAATGACATAAAATTCTAAGAGTTACTATTCTAACACTTAGCAGAAAATTGTTCGATAACAATTGTCTTTGTCTAAGTTCCCTGAGATCAGAGGTAACAAAGATAACCCCACTCTGTACAAGGGCGTCTGCCTAGCTGCTGAGGGAAGGTATTTGAATAACCTAGATAGTTGTCTGGGAATAGCATAAGACAAAACATAATAGAAAATATAACAGAAGCAGTCTTTAGCCCTAATGTTGGAACTCTCCTCTCAACCAGTGGGTCTTACAAGGATATCTCAAAGAGCTAGCTATATAGTATTCTGGCAAAGGAATGAAGTGCCTTCAGGAACTTGTATTGCCTAACTGAAATATGTTCTACTCTAATTGTCAGATTCAGTCTTCTAGAATTGCCTGTCCCACTGAGGCGCCAACTCCTCATTTGTACTCTCTGTACACAGGTTGGTGGGTACAAGGTGAGCATCAGAGTGTGGGACAACAGCACTGACCTAAGAGATAAAGGCGGCCTGCATCATTTCTTCTGTCCACTTATTACAAAGGAGGTCTATGAGTTTTCAGACGCCATAGTCTGCACGAAGGATTTTATATCTGTAAGTGAAGTGGGATGGCTGCCTCTCCTATGGCTTTAGCAGGGGAAATAGAATGGTGGTGTGGACGTGGCTGGGCTTAATAACTGGGTGGATTTCAATTTCACTTTTACTTCAGTCACTGTGTGACCATGATGCCTTTTCTCAAACACTGAGGCTTTGTTTCCAAGGCTAACGTGGAAGACCAGCATTGACCTGACAAGGTAGCTTAAGAACTGTGTGGACACACAGTATCGAGCACCGCAGGCCTAGCAGTAGAAAAGGCTCTAATCTGCAGTCACACCGACAGTCACAGGATTGACTGACCACACGGTCCAGGTCCTGGCTCCAAAGTAAAACATGTAAACAGATGAAACAGCCCTTCTGCCTTTGTGTTTATACTCTATGGGCTCATGTGGACGATGGACTACTAAGTAATAGGCCCTACTTTATCGTGGCAGTAATGACTTGATGCTCTACTTGGCTCTGTGGATATAAAGAAGGTTGTATGCTTTAGAATCTAGTATTTCAGCTTGTAATTGGATCTCATTTACTTTTCCCGATGCCTTTTGAAACCCAAAGGGGTAAAATCCAAGGACAGGACTGGAAGACACAGCTGGCCATGTGCTCTTCCTACTGTGTGGCAGCAGTCAGGCTTCTTGGAAGAATGACATTAATTAGCTTATGTCAATTAATCTGGGTGTTTTCTGCAAAATAGCAGGTGGCAGAACTTTAGAAACTTTCTCCTAACTTTTTCTTTTTTCCTTTTCAGTTTACCTTCACACATATTTTCTCTAAGTTTGCTGATGATAATGCGGTAAGAGTACAGTTTGTTTCTGAACGGGTGTGTGCTGTTTGTGCACGGGTGTGTGTCTGCGTGCGTGTGGACCATATGTGACGGGATGTCTGCAGCGGATAGGAGGTGTCAAGAGCCCTGTAACTGGAGCTAACGGCAGTTGTGAATTGTATAATATTGATTATGAAAACTGAATTTGGGTCCTCTGGAAGAGCAGAGTAATAAATATTCACTGCATCACCTCTCCGACCCCTAAAATACAATTCTTCACTTATGAATTGTATTAATATTTAAATTCATGTTAAAGCTCGTGGTCACTTTAATCTGATAAAATATTAGATTCTTGGGGTTAAGTGCCAGTCTTTTAAACAATGGTGTGTGTGTGTGTGTGTGTGTGTGTGTGTATACATGTGTGTACATGTGCAGTCATGAGTAGGTGTGCTATTGGCATGCACATGTAGGTCAGAGAACCACTTGGAATTATTTTCATGTCTTTTGGCTTTTGAAGAATGCACCTGAGATGGGATGGACCATTAAGCTTGGCAATGGCACAAAAACCCACACTCTGCCCCTGAAAGATGCCTTAAGACAAGGATTTAATCTTCTGATTGACAGCGAGAAATTAACCCTTGATGTGCCAGTCAATGCTACTGGAGTCACCCAATATGTGGTAGGTGTGAAAACCCTTTTATATCGCCATCAAGGAAATGGCCAATGTCCTTAAGCCTAAGTATGATATTAATCATGGCTTCAAATGGGCTATATTGCCAATTAAAGAAGTATATCTAGGTGGGCAGATTGGCCTGGACTTGTAGTTCTAGTACATGGGACGCTGATGCAGGAGACTGAGTTTGAAGATAGCTTAGACAAGACTACATAGTGAGAATCTGTCACAAACAGCCTGTAAGTTCTAATATCAAGTGTTGCATTGGATGATAGGTATGCAGGGGGGAGAAGAGACGCGGGCCTTGGTATGTGTTCGTATGTGTTCTTCCCTCCTTTTGTAGAGTCTTAGGAGTGAAGGTGTTCTGCTGGGGTGACACCGTTGGCCTTGTCTTCAGGCCATCTGTGAGACATTAAATTGATATATTATAATCATGTTCTGCATAACGTGTAGACCAGTGATGGACCATATGACAACAGTCCCATAAGACTGGAGTGGAGCTGAATTAGCCTGTTTATAGCTACAGTAACATTATAGTGCAATGCCTTGCCCATGTTTATAGTGGTTCTGCATGAACCTGGACTGCCCATTGGATAAAGGCTTCACACATTCAATCACATGTTAGGTGGATAATGGCAAAAGCAGGTTTTGTGTGGTCACCATATTCTATTGTGCAAGGACAACTGTCTGATGGTGCATCTCTTAGGATCTACCCCACTGTTAAGTCATGCATGGCTGTGCTTGAGGCAGGTCCTGGCAAGTGCTCAAACACAGGCTACTTTAATAAAAAGACACTTTTGTTTCACCTTGAGCGTAACAGGATGGCTGGGCTCTGTAAGCACTCCCACCAGTGCTATAAGGTCATCCTAGACTATGGTCAGTTCTTGCTGTCTCCCTAGAACTGGGTGAGCAATAGGTCATCCCCACAGACAGCACTAGTCTTCAGGCATTACAGCAGACACGATTAAGACCAGATCACCTTGTCAGTGATTGAGTAAAATATCGACTTCTCATTTGTGCCAAAATGATGCCCAATGCTTGAGCATATTGGCTCACTGGTTAGAGAATCAAACTAATATCTTAAATCTTATATGCCTCCCAACCCCCAGCAAGGGAGCAGCCATCTCTACACTGTGAATCTGAATCTCATGTTCTCAATGCCTGGACAGAGGACTACCTTCTCCTCACAAGCTCTCTGTGCATCAGGTGAGGCCCCGAGAGACCACAGCTTCAGCAGTGGGAAACATTGGTCTTAGGACTTAAGCAAGGCTGATAATGGGTTTTCTGTCAATCGTTGCCTGCAGATCTGTCTGTGGCTTGCAATGCCACACACATGACTTTCACCATACCAGAGTTCCCTGGGAAGCTGAAGTCTGTGAACTTTGGGGAAAGGAGCATTCCCGAGAGGCAATGGCATGCCAGTGGAATCGACAAAGAAGTAACAAATGGCTTGAGACTGCATTTCAGAAAATCTCTCCTGAAAACAAAAGTATGTTATTCCCTGAATGCCGCGAGAGCCTTCTGAAGTACTCTGTGGGTAGTGTGAGATAGCTCATGGCTTGCCCATAAAGCCTACTTGCTAGAATGATGGGTTTAAATAGTGCAAGGTCTCCCTTGATCACTTATTATGAACGGATTTTTAAGAAAAGCTCTCTCCAATACCATCTTAACTTCTGCATGTGGATACGTTCCTAAATTGTTCTCAGTTCATTTGGCAAGTACAAACTGCCTACCGGACATCTAATGATGAATGCTCACCATGGTCTGTTATACAACAGGGCGACTTGGTCTTTTTTTTGCTTCACCCTTTTGGTTAAGGGTCTCCTGTTGTCCTGAGGCTAGTCTTGACGGATGCGGTTGCCAGGGATTGAATGTCAGGGAGTGTGTAGCCATAGCATTCTGTAACCTTGTGGAGTTCTTTGAGCCCTTCTTGGGCTTGGCGAGGGTAGACTCCACTATCCTTTACAACTTGTTAGTTCGAGCTTCAGTGACTAAAAGTACAAAGAGCATGAAGGACCGGGTGCTTCAGGACGTGCGTGGGTCTAAGCAATGAACTTCTTGCCTAGAGAAGCACCCTGACCTGACAAAGTGAAAGTGTATTGGGCAAACCTTTGGGGACGCCCGCTTCCTGCTGCTGGAGACGGCTAGCTGACATGCTCTCGTTTCAGCTCTCTGAAGGATGCCCACATTATCAGTTCTACTTCTCGGCTCTCAAGCTGACCTTTCACCTCCAGCCGTACTTTGTGACCACGGTGATAGATCCTGAGTGCCCCTGTGAGTCACCAGTCTCCATAGGTAAAAATGTTTCTTTTTTAAATCAAAGTTATCTGGGTTTTTTGTCTTACTCTTTTTGGTCCTCTTAATGCATCTGGGAAAATGTAACGGATCAAGATTCTGATTCACACTTGCAGCTCAATGAGACTGAAGATGAGCCATGTCAGAAACGGCAATCTCTAAGTTCTGGGGTGGGGACCCAAGTGTGCTACGGTTCTCAAACACTCACGCAGGTAGATCACTGTGGAACCAGTGAATTTAAGTAACCTGGCTATACTGAATTACACATGAGAGCCTCACCACTGCCATCCAGGGACAAAGGCTTCAAACTTCTAGGTTAAGACTTTCCTAAGACTCCCATGGACTCTAGGAAGGAATCCTAAGTGGGCACCTTCTCGAGGTGAGTCCTGCTTCTCTTTACTCCCTCACCTAGACCAGGACAGGCCAATAATAAAAGCTATCTTCTCAGTTCTCCTTAAATTGCCTGGGTTTTGTGAGTTCAGGCTGAGTATCCCTTACCAAAGTGTTTGGAACCTGCAGTTGTAGGTTTCAGAGTTCTGCTGGACTGTCTTAATAGCTGTATAGCCTCCTATATGGGCTTCCCTGGTTTAAAAAAAAATCCTGGAAATTTTTCTCAAATCTCGAGAAAGGGACATGGTGAAGCCTGGCACTTTATAGCCAACCCAGATTGAATCCTTAAGACACTTTAATCATTTATCAGGGTGTGGCCTCCTCGCCTCTGTGACACTTCTTCCATGTCTCCTGGTCTGTATGTTGCTGACACTGATTATGTGACTTACGTTCCTCTTGTAACTTATCAGTATTTGTTCAGAGACTTAAGACAACTTGTCTTAAGACTTAAGACAAGCTTAGTTGCTGGCTTTATCTAGGACTTGAAGACTATCACAGAGTGGGCTTATTTTCTCTAAACCTCTCCTGCTGTCCAATTACAGATGAACTGTGTACACAGGATGGGTTTATGGACTTCGAGGTGCACAGCCACCGAACAAAACCTGCTCTGAACCTGGAGACCCTCCTGGTGGGGAACTCCTCCTGTCAGCCTATCTTCAAGGCCGAGGCACTGGGGCTCGCACGCTTCCGTATACCTCTGAACGAATGCGGAACACGACAGAAAGTAAGTAGTCAGTGGTAAGAAATTAAGACTGACTTTTGAAGGAAGTGCTTTTTTGACCTGCTTTGTCTAACATTTAAGTTTGAAGGTGATAAAGTCATCTATGAAAATGAAATACATGCTCTCTGGAAAAATCTACCACCAAGCATCATATTCAGGGACAGTGAGTTCAGGTGTGATATTCTACTTGGGGATTTTTAAGTTTTTGTTTACATTACAGGGATTTTGTTAGCATAATTCATATCTCTCCCTACCCCAAATTTTCCAGAATGACAGTGAGGTGTCATTACGCCAGAGACAGTGTGCTCCTAAATGCCAATATCAAAAGCCGCCTTTCTCCAGTGGCCTTGGTAAAGCCAGGTCCACTGGTGCTGGTCCTGCAAACATACCCAGGTGAGGTGTTGCAACTCGAGTTAACAGATAAAATACTTAGTGCATTTTAGGGGATAATCTCCATCCAGTGCTGCCAGCCTAGTGTGTCTTGCAGCCAGCCTGTACCTCAGTCCTGAAGAGGTTTCCATTAATTGCAGACAAATCCTACCAGCGACCCTATGGGAAGAGTGAGTACCCTCTAGTGAGATACCTCCGCCAGCCAATCTACATGGAAGTGACTGTCTTGAATAGGAATGATTCCGACATCAAGCTGGTCTTGGATGACTGCTGGGCAACACCTTCTGTAGACCCAACCTCTCTCCCCCAGTGGCATATTATCGTGGATGGGTATGTATTCCCTGCACCACAAGGTTGCCCAGATAAACATCCAAACTTACCAGCTATTGAAAATAATCCTCCTAGGACCTAAAGGAGACTTTGGTCATGAATTCCCTGACATGATCTTTGTTTCATAGTCCTCAGTCTTTGGTCTAATTGGGTAGCTCATGCTGCTTTCAACACCCTGAACTCTTAAGGAACGGGCTCCTCTCCAAAAGGCCTCCCTCTGGTGCATTTTTACCATGAGGGAGAAGTCTAGTGCCCATTTACTGACACCTGCCATATGCCTGGCTGCCATGTACCCATAGTATCACCTGAGGAACATGAGTCACCTTCGTGAGGGAAGCCAAACTTACTAAATGTTACCTCAACAGTAAGTGGAGCTGGGGTTAGAACTCCCACATTAGAAGTGCTTTTGGCAATAGCTGTTTGTCATCTTAGCTCGGCCTGAAGTGTCCCCTCCCGGGTTCCTTACCTGCAAGGAGCTATACTTTAGCTTCCTTGGCTCTGTGGGAATGTGTCACAAGGCTCCAGACCTCCAGCTAGACTCCAGCTGGACTCCTGCCTCAAGAGCACAAAACAGCCTTACTCAGTCACACAATCCATGTCTTTACCTTTGGAGATCTACCCAAGTATTCCTTCTGAGGCCAGCCTTGATTCCCCTTACCCTCTGTAATTCTCCATATCTTTGCACTTTCCCTCCTTAATGCCAGTGTATAAAACAGAATGGCAACAATTCTCTATTTCTATTGTAAGCACTTACAACCTAGGACATAATAGAAACTCGTTTCTGCACAAGTAAGCTGGTATCTTAAGTAACACATGCTCACACACCAAGGAGAATGGTCGCAACTTGAATCTGTTATGAATTCACTTGGTAAACAAATACGTATTTGCATTACATAGTGCTATACATAGGACTTCATGAATATTAACGGTGAGGTCCAGCCAGAAAGATGTAAGTAAAACAGAGGTACTGGTAGGATATAGACACAGCTGTAGCGTAGAGTGTCACATGTGACTCACCTTGTCCAAATGTGCATGTGTGGATTGCTGTGACTGATGCCCCCATCCTGGTGCCTGTGTTCTAGCTGTGAATATGAACTGGACAACTACCACACTACCTTCCATCCAGCTGGCTCCTCTGTGGTCCATCCTGCTCACTACCAGAGGTTTGACGTGAAGACCTTTGCCTTCGTGTCAGAGGCACAGGGCCTCTCTAGCCTGGTATGTGATCAAGAAGTCACCTGGGGCAGGTTGACGGTGAGCGCACTGAACCTGCCTGACTCTCTTCCTCCTCTTCCAGATCTACTTCCACTGCAGTGCCTTGATCTGCAACCAAGGGTCCCTTGACTCCCCTCTGTGTTCTGTGACTTGCCCTGCATCCTCGAGGAGCAAACGAGGTAAAAATTCATTCCCTGTTCTTGTTGGTCAAAGCAAGTCTCAGTTTTCTAGAATTGAGTAATTTTAGGATAATAATCTTGTTCTCCACCTAGTCCCAAGGAACATTGTCTCCCAGTTTTCCTTTACCAATGTGGTGAGCCCAAGACGCATAGGTTCTTGTTTAGCCCAAGCCATCCATCCTTTGAGAATCTACCCATGACAGGCAGGTGGAATTTGCGTCACAGGATACTCCATGGACATCTCCTAGGGAACTCCGTTAATGCCTCTGGCACACTACACCCGAGATCAAAACACAACCTTGATTATCTGTCTCCTCCCACAGAGGCCATCAGAGAAGACGCAATGACAGTTAGCCTTCCAGGACCCATTCTCTTGTTGCCAGGTGATTCTTCACTTAAAGGTATGCATTTAAAGTCTGGGGTACTTCTGAATGCAAGCTTTTAGCTTTTTCTGCCAAAAATAATAATATGCTTAATGATAACCTAAATAAGAATAAAGTAGAATAAGTTCCCTTCTCACAGAAGCTTGAACTACTTGTGTGCTCTCCTGAAAATCACCGGCAAGATCACGCACAGTACCTACTGGTAGACTTGCTTTGCTGTCTCAGTCCCTGATAGAACCATGTAGGACTGGCTCTTAGCCGTGGTCTTGTTCATGACCCACTACTCCCAATTTTACTCTTGTGCTGGATGTCATAATGGATTCTTAATGCCACACTAGATATCTAAGAGGATCGCTACCTACCATACCAAGAAATTCTGTGCACATTGCTAGTAGATTGGTAGGTTGGCAAGCTTGAGTATCCCTTTAACTTCTGCCAAACTGAAATCATAGATTATGTTCCTATAATCATCCCTAGCCTCACCCCAGAGGGCCTCAACTCCAGGCCTAGAATGTAAAATTAAGCCATCTTAAATCTCTAGCCAATTTCCCTGTGACCTCACATATCCCGCGTTAGCTGATCATCAGGACATTGCATTAGTTAGGCTGAGAGGTCGAAGCTATCTCCAGACATCAGTCCATCTAGCTTGAGATGGGGTAGGGTAAATGATGATGATGGGTCCGGGAGAGGTATGGAGCAGAGGGTGAAGGTGGCAATAGTGAGAGGGTGCGGGTATGGCCTACTGCAAACTTCCGAGAGCAAGGGATTGAGGCTTAGCTTCCGTAGAAGGCCTCAGCACAACCATATGACTTGAATGTTTGCTTTCTTTGTAGATGCTACAGTCCCCAAAAGGAGCCAGATTACCAAGGACACTGTTGTCAAAATAGTAGCTGTGGTGGCTGCGTTGGTGGGTTCAGTGGTGATTGTAGGCTTCATCTGTTACCTGAATAAAGAGAGAACGGCGAGGTTGGCTCACTGAGCATGCAAATAAAGAGGCTGCAGCAAAACTCTTGTCTTACATGTTCATGTGTGTATTACGTGTTCATGTGTGTACCGGACACGCTTGCGTCAGTCCTCGGGCACCGTCCACTCTTTTCTCCTGAGAGGAGGAAGAGAAGTGGCCTCCGGGGCCTGGCACTTGCCAAGCAGACTAGACTAGCTGTCCAGTGGGCCACAGGAATCTGCCCGTCATACTAATACCAGTAATACAGCGTGCGCCACTGCAACGGGCCTCTAACGACAAACTGTGGAGCTCAAACTCAGGTACTCATGTTTGCAAGGCAAGCGCTTAACCTGACTGAGCCATCTCTCCGTCTTTCCAGGCCTTCCTTTGCCTTATGTTTCAAGACTAGAATCTATTTAGGAATAGCTTCCTTTAGGCATTACTCTTCAGAATAGTTCTGAGACCTGTTCAGATTCCTGTGTAGGCATCTACTGACTTGGACAGGAAGAGGTAAATTAGTGACTTATTTCCTATTTGGGATTCTGTGACTCCCTTAGCCCTATCCCTGACATAGGTCGTTTAAGTTCAGTGGGGCTTAGCTGCAGCCCACCTGAAGGAATACTCATACATGAGTCCTTTGTGTTTGAGCCCCTCACTCCAAGACACAGGATTGGGGTTGGGGGAGGCAAGAAACTAGTATCTAATTTCATCATAAAAATGAAATAGCGAATGTGGGGTTTATCAAGAGGCTTTGGGATTGTTTCCACCTCCTCATTGTGGACCCTCACGTCTTGTACAAGGAGTCCCATGTACAAAGAGATGGTGGGTGTATCTGCTAGCAAGTGATCACATCTGGCCCTTTGGTATAGGGTGATGGTGTTTGTGCCAGCAAGTGATTCATATTTGGAGCCAGGAGGACACGCCTCACAGACCCTTAAGGAGCACATCCTATATGGTCTAATGACCCCATAAATGTCTACAGCACCTCTCAATGCTACCACACTGAAGACCAAAAGTTTAACACAAGTGTCTTTGGAGGATATTCAGTCAAAATATACCATCCTTAATTGTTGACCAAAAGTATTCCTTTCATGAAATAAATTGTTCACAGCAGAGTATTTCCTAACTCAACTCCCTGAAATAAGACTTCCGGGACTTTAAAGTGATCGAGTTGCATCTCTGTAGCCCCAGTTTAAAGTTTCTTCCCCGTGAGAAGAAAGAGGATTGCTACGCGGTCCATCTTAAGTGAATCACAACGTCCCTGGTGTCCAGGCCCTACAGTGGACCTGAGCCTAGCTGACCATCTCTGCTTGTGCTCAGTTCCTTACTCCTCATGGGGCTCACTTCTCAGGGACGCCCTAGTTTCCCTAGACTGCTTGGAAGAAGTCGCCCACATGACAAATCTTTACCTAACCTCACTTTCTACACATCTAGTATAAAAATTTATTTGTATCCTTTGACTAGAAAACTGTTTTTTTTTTAAAAAAAAAAAAAAGACTTAATCTCCATATAGGGGTAAGGTTCAAATAGAAATACAATTATTTGGGGAGGGGGTATGGATTTGACTTACATTTCCTAATCACAGTCCATCATTGAGGAGAGCCAGAACAAGAACTGAAGCAGAAACAGAGTAACACTACTTATTTGGTTGCCTCCCATGACTTTCTCAGTGGGCTTTATTACAATACCCAGGACCACCAAGCCAGGGATGGCACTGTCTATAGAGGACTGGGCCCTCACACATCAATCAAGAAAAGGACCCCACAGACAGGCCAGTCTGGCAGAAGCCACCTCTCTAGTAAGTTTCTCTACCCAGATGGCTCTTACCTTGCATCAAGTTGGAAAAAAAAAAACAACAACTAACCAATGAGTGAGGAAATAGTAGTCCACAATACTCTGGTTTCTCGCCAGGACATAACAGTTTTGTTTTGTTTTTATTCTCTTTGATTAGTTAAGCTGTCGAGCTTTTCAAAACCTAACCTTGAGGTTGAAGCACATAATATCTATTATCTTGTAATATATAGTAGGTCTCAGGCTTTATGCTGAATTGTCCTTTTTCAATATACCCTGTGTTAGACTTTGCTAGATGTGACAACATTCTTGGGAAAACAGGACAAAGTTATTTGGGCTCAGTTTCCAAAGTTAAAGTTGGTACTTGGGCAGGATGTCATGGCAGTAGGGACCAGAGGAAGAGCTGGCCTTATTGGGGACAGTGAAGGAACCCAGGACCAAGTGTAACCTTTGACCCTTTGAAGGTGTGCTCCTTACAGCCCTGCTCTGCTCAGCAAGGCCTCAACCCCCCTCTCCCCAGTGTTACCAGTGGGGGAGCAGGTGTTCACAGGAGTCTGCGAACTCTCCAGACCACACCATAGCCTTTTTGATAAGAGTTTTGCAGGGTAAAAATCCTGGCCTGGGAAATGGCTGTGCTTAGATTGTATGGAAGGGCCGGTGCGGCCAGAGGGATAGGGGTTAAAAACTCAAGTCATCAAAACCCTTCTTTGGACCTGGCTTTATACGGGTATAAGGAACTACTTTGCCGATAAAGCAAGAATCTATCCTGAACTCAAACTTTTCTGTGTGGAACTTCATATCTCTATGCTGCTACACACCTGAACCAGAAATAAAACTTTTATATGCTGTGCCCTTTAAATGGCACTGAAACAAACACTGATTTAATAGCAGCCTGCATCACAAATGCAAAAGCAAGTTGGTTGCTTAAATGGCTCTGGTACCTCATCTCCACACCCTAATCCTAAAAGCAAAACCATATGTACTCGTATTGGTAGCTTGCCATGGAGACACGGACTTCGTAGATGTGATGGATGGTCTTGATATGGTTAGATGATACAGGTGGGCCAATCAGAATGGACACAGGAGACCTGGACTCCAAGAAGATGCGACACCGGTAGCCAAAATCTGAGTGGTACAGGGTCACAAGCCAAGGAGCCCAGGTAGCCACTACGCACACAGCTCTACTGTTGCATTCTGGACTTCTGACCTCTAGACTTGTAACTGCAGTACTCTTTTATGGGGCTAAGTTTGTGTTCAGTTGTTGAGGCAGCTAAGGGAAACCAATCCACCCTCCAATGACTCATGACCCACAAATTGGAAAAAATCACATTCGTGAAAATGTTCATGCTACCCATGCGATTCTCTAGCCCTGCTATAGTTCAGGATGTCACAGTCTCCTAAGCCCTTCATGGACCCTCATCTGCAATTTGGTGCATGCGTGTGGGGATCAAGATTGCCTGGGTTTCTAGACTTCTCTACAGCACAACTCCCTGCTGAAGTGTTTGCCGCAAGTCCCAAAGCCGAACTTGGAGGGTAAAAAGTGGAACTTGCCGGGAGCAGCTGCCGGGATGAACACTTGTTGCCATGGTAGCCTGGATCAAGTACAAGAAGCAGGAGATTCAAGTCAGGTTCTCAACTTCTGAAAGCACACATCCTACAGTGTGTGGGGGAGGCAGCCTATTCAGAGAGGAACTGTGTGGGCAAGGAGTGGAGCTCAAACCCCAAGAGGCTGCTCCCTCACCCTAACTGGATGTGTGACTTCCCGTAGTGGGTAGAGATGGGTTGCACTTGTGGCACAGGTGTCAGGAATGGGATACAGGCTCTTGGGTGGTTCTGATGCGGAAGGGTGCATGGTCTGGGAATGGACTTGTATACTGTGGAAAGAGACCTCTAACTTACTTTTTTTCCCCTGACTTGTTCTGTAGTTAGTGTAGTTTACTTGGGTACAAAGAACTTCAAAATATAGTTTGGGTTCTGGATGCATACCCTCTAGCTGTGTGATCTTGAGCAGAAGGAACAATTTCTGTGCCTGTTTCCACACCCTGATCTGTGTCAACGTCTTAATCTCATGGCAGGGATTCAGGGATGAATTCAATGAAATAATCAGTGTATTGATACAAAGCTGCATGATCAAACTTGAATCATCTAAACATTACTTGTTGTGGGAGTAACTTCCGCTGCCTCAACCAATAATCACTGATTGCACAGGAGCCCACAGTGCAGCGGGGAGCGACTTCCGCTCCGTCAGCCAATAGCTGCTGAAATACCAGCCCACTGGGGCGTGGTATATTTCTCTTTTAAAAAGAGAAGCAGTTCCGGATAAGGTCTCTCTTGGTTCCGGCTCTTGGTTCCGGTGCTCCGTCTCGGCTGCTGCTCCCGGCTCCTGCTCCAGCGACTAGGCTCCCTTCCTGACGGTTTATGGTGTATGTAAGTTTTACCCCCCGCCAAATAAATAACCCCTTAAAACATAACTGGTGTGGGATTGATTCGTTAACAATTACTAAAATACTCTAAACAAAACCTCAGAGATCACACAATGAGCCATTACTACTGGATGAATAAAGTCGTAAATACAGTACTATAAAACCCTAAATGAAACCTCAGATCATATAATGAGCCATTACTACAGGATGAATAAAGCTGAGTAGTACACCAGAGGTCCTTAGGTGCATATTTTACTAAGTACACATGCTCTGACCTCACCCTGACCCTTGAAAGACTGGGTCTGACCATGGAAGTGTAAATGATGGCCCCAGGGATATTCGTGTGTTGCTCCTTGGGACCTGTGAATGTCCCCTGCATGGCAAGAATGACTCAGCTGTCAAGATAAACTTCGGACAATTGAGTTAGGGAAATGATCTGGGCTATTGAAGTAGGGCATGAATAAAACCACATCTTCTAAGAGGGAACCATGGCTAAGGAGAAAGGCAAGCTGAGTGGAGCAAAGATTGGCGTCGTCCATGTTGAAGATGGAGGAAGAGAATACTGGAAGGTCTTGATTGTCCTTGGCTTGTCTTGGTTTGTCCTTTTAGGTATGAGACTTGCTAGGATGGAAATTGGTACCACAAACATTCAGGCAGTGTGATGGGCTAACTAAGGAGACAGATGGCGGGGGTGTCCTCTCTTCCAGGTTCAGAATGTGGGGAAGGGCCTGTGTCATGCATTAGATGAGTAGCTCATGGCTTCTAAGTGCCCTCAGTTTTCTCTGATAGTGGGATAGCAGACAAAGGGGGAAAGATCTGGTCCTTTTGACTTAA